TTTTTTGATTTCTTTTCTCTCGACGTACATCTATTTTGAGCCATTCAAAAGCGAACTGGTCCAACTGGTACACGATGCAAAAATACGATGGCATGAGCGTGAAAACGATTGTTTTTATTGGAGTGATAGTGAGCGCTTGTAAGTATTACTGTTTCCTTGCATATAAGTATGACTAAGCAGAAAAAATTCCAATGTTGTTAAACTGAATCTCATTAAATCTACAGAAGATTTATTCTTGAGTATTTCACTCATCCCAAAAGTGAACGAAGCATCTAATCGACTACTAAATACCTTGTCTTTGTAGGACAACAGATTGATTATAAGCAAAATCGTACTGTTTTTGTTTTGATTTATCCGTCAATGAATTACTCGGTGTCTTATTAAAAGACTAGTTTTATTTCTTCTTTTTTTCTAAAGCTTATCAATATGTAAAGCTAATGTTTTAATTCATCTGATGAATTCTGTAATCGGTCATTCAGTGAGGTTATGAATTAAGTTCTGCCGGACAACGAGMTTTTATTATTCACACAGTTGTTTCAACTGCGTCAACCAAACGGACAATATAGCTGTCACGTTTTCAGTTTTGTTGCCGTATATTTGATTTGCTTTCTTAACCTCATACCATTGATACCGCTGAACGATAATTTAAACTTGACTGCCAAACAAACAATTTTCCAAAACTTTAGATTAGTATAATGAGCAAATAATGCAGAGTTATATTTTAGACTAGAACGTAACGACACTAAATATCTATGTTGTCAAAGAGAAAGTATATAATAGTTTAAACGGAGATAGTCCAGTCCTGAAGGGGAACTTCTCGTGCAATCAATCTTGAAGAAAGCCGGCTAAATGTTATAAACCCTAGACGAAGGCATTTGATATATATTATTTAAAACAATTCTTATTTTGCAAACAAGCAAGTCATACAAGATTTTCATGAAATAACACTTTTATATATTTTCCACAAGATAATGTTCCAAATCCAGCCGCCATTTTGTTAGTTTCATTTCTTACACGATATGAACTGTTATCCTATAATAGAATAGCCAATCAGTACGCGAGTTTGCTCATATCACCTATYTACAATGTGATAAATGTAGGTGTATTTTGCTTTACTCCAGTCGTGCTCCTTTTAGGTTTCTCGCTGTCAAGGGGAAGTGGACCTTCCAATAAAGACTGTCTTCTTCCCAAAGTAGTCGGACCTTGTCGTGCAGCTATTCCAAGATATTACTACAATTCCCAGTCCGGGAAATGCGARACCTTTACTTATGGTGGCTGTGATGGTAATAAAAATAACTTTGCAACGATGGAAAAGTGCAAAGCGGCTTGTCATCCAGCATGAATCATTGAAACGTGTAGGTATTTTGACGGTCATTTTTTCATCGTTAAATACAGCTGAGCCTTCATGTCAACTCTAGCTCACCCACGAGGCCATTAGAAGTCCCAGTAAAGACCATTAATGACTTGCTTTTATGCTAAGCACTTAAGTGAAGTTCTGCACTAAATCCTAATAAACATCAGATAATTTGAAATAGCTAAATATGTCATGCAATTTTTACCTGCGTTCTGCTTTAATAAGATTTTCTTGTTGTTTTTTTTTTTCAGGAAGAAGTCGTCTTAAATAATTGTAGATGGATAAAGATTAAATAAATCCACTTAAACCTAAAAAACACCTTTGTTTTAATTACATTTTCCTTTTTCATGAAGAAAGTACTCTGATAGACGCTTATCCTTTTGAAATAGGAAGCCAACAGCCTTCGACTCCGATACATGCTGACTTCGAAACCTGAATGCTCATCAAGGGAAACAGCATAAGTCGAGGCCAGTTTTGACTATACACTTACAAACTTTACAAGCTTTTACTGCTACACTTTATGGTTTCTTCATCAATTCTTTATTCTTGGTTTTCTCTCCTCGAAGTGGGAGTTTCTGAAATGGGATAAAATTTGGGAGACTTTTGCGAACGGTAGCCTCTCTTGTCTCATGCTGAAGAATACCTATTTGAAGTACTATGAAGTGTTAGTGCAATGAGACATTCCGAATTTGAGTTACACTTGTCTGTTGGAGATTCGTGTTTCTTGTTGCTGTTGGCTGTTATTTAGGCCATGCAACTACTGGAACTATAGTTGTAAAGTTTCGGCAAAAGCGTGGAACAGCTCAAACCTCTTGCATCTTTACAAGTAGTTGCAAGGCCGACTTAACAGGACAGTGGCTTACTAAATGTCTGACGAAGATGTGCTCAAGTTCAATGGCGAGCATACGTTAGTATTTTCATTTTCATGCATTATTTTTATTTTGTACTTTTTAAAGCGCTTAGAGAAAGCTATATTAGCGCTATACAAAATCTTTATATATCATCATTATTCATGATTATATATGAAAAGCTTTATTTCATAATATCTATTCGAAATCCGTTCTGTGAAGAAAAAATTGATTGATTATTGATTATATCATCCGAGTTATAGACATTTGAAAATTCAAAATGCAAATGATGTGACGTCAATTGAAGGGACTGGGTTAGACTTTCCCCGTTGCTTGCATATGAAATCATGTTGACGTCACTTTATCTGAATTTTCAATACTCCAGTTTCGAATTCTCCAGTGCTCTGTGTTAGCCTCATTTGTGCGCAAAATATTCCTAATTGTGAGAATAAAAGTGTGAGATTTTAAATCAATTCTATTGTCTTTCTTCACAAAATTCCATACGTTTTCTCGAGCTATCTATGGAACAAAAGAATATGTTATTTGGTTTTGAGGCTAACACAGAGCAAACCAGAACTCGAAATTGGAGTATTTTCAAATGCCTTCAGATCATAGGATATAAATGAAAAAACGGTTATTTCTTTATCTTCCAAGGAAAACCTTTCAACATTTTTTTTTTCCAAATTGGATAAAGGAAATATAAAAGATGTCATGTGCACTCTAAAGGTCTTCCTTTATCCATAGCAGGGAAACGGATGTTGACTTGMCATAATTAGCTCTTATCTTGGCCATATATATGACTTAATAGCAAGTCTAGTGTTGCACTTATGTATTCCGTTATTTTAGACTTATAAATTATATAGAGATAGAAATCGATAAGAATAATTTAACAGTTATGTGAAAACTAGATAAATTTAACACCGTAAAAAAGTAGGTGAAACAACTTACTGACGTTTCGGACGTTAATCCTTCGTCATCTCTTTACTCCGACGAAGGATTTTTAAACGTCCGAAACGTCAGTAAGTTATTTCACCTACTTTTTTACGGTGTTAAATTTATCTTTTCACATAACTGTTTCTTTAGAAACACCGACGCAGCTCACACTAGTTTATCACTAGTTCTACCATTAAGAATAATTTAGTCTGAGTGGAACTCATTCACTCCCACTCGTTCACTTGAAAGAAATTTTATTCGTTTCCGGTAGCCCTAAATCTAACCATTAATTTTT